TATGGACATAGTGCAGCGAATTAAAATACAGCGGCTCCGCTGGCTTGGTCATGTCGTTCGACACCGTTCGTTGGACACCGACGCTCCAGCTCTGAAAGTATTCAACTCGGAACCCGCTGGTGGTAGCAGAGGAAGAGGGAGGCCCCCACTGCGATGGAAAGATCAGGTGGAGAAGGACTTGGCTTCACTTGGCGTTTCCAATTGGCGTCAGTTGGCACAGAGGAGAAACGACTGGCGTGCTTTGCTGAACTCGGCCAAAATCGCTTAGGCGGTTACAGCGCCAAAAAAGAAGAAGAAGACATGAATTTAATTTTCGGATCTGTTTAATATGGGTCCTTAGTAAAAGCATTTTAAAAATCATATCAGTTTGCCAATCTTTACCAAATTTTATATATATAAGGAATGTTAATCCTTAATGTTGAGGTCTCAAAAATCCCGGAATTCTTGGAAAATAATCCCGGGATTTTCGCGATTTGTAATCTGCAGTGATGACAATAATAGAAACTACTTTTCATAAGTAATGTTTGTAATGTTTTTTGTTTTATAAATGTCTAGCTCATTATACATATAACACTGTGCGATAGTAAATATTATACACAACAATCAATATATGACGTCAGTAATTCAAAAATGATTTAAAAAATGCAGTGAAATAAGCTTCGAGAAGAAGTATGGGATCAAATTAAATAGGAAATTTTGAAGAATTTAAACAGATTAAATTTTTTGGTACATAAGGACTCGTAAGTAGTGTTGTAAAAACCTCGAGGTTTGAAACTATCGATTTTTCGATGTTTTTTCCAATAAAACTTCGATAGTATCGATACTATCGTGTTTTCTTGGGAATTATAACTATTTGTTTAAAGCTGAAATCCTGATCAATTAACAAACATAATATTTTAACAAATGCATCTATTATTTGAAAGCTATCCATTAATTAATTTAAAACTTCATTTGACTTATATTTAAGGTCACCTTGAATATTGCAAGTTATTAATTAATTAAATAAATAAATATTAAATATTTAAAATAATATAAAAAATTCATAAAGCAAAAACACTATTAATATGTGTTATAATTACGGTGACCATTCGTACCGATTTTGGCGGGCAATAGCGATATTGAGAAAATTGTCCCGCTGAATATTTTTTAAAAGTCGGGACGTATAAGTGTCCCGATTTTTCTTACTTGTACCGATTAAGTCCCGATTTTCATTTTGGCCTAAAAAAATTTTTTCGGACAAACGAGGCAGCACTTTCGTTATCACAAAGGACATCGAATATACATAAGTGAGCCGTAAACATAGCCAGCATCCTTAATAATAATAAAATCGTGGATATGAAAAGCATAGGCTGTAGCTAGAATGGCGAAAATATAAATAGGGAAGAGACATTTTACCTTTTTTTGGCTATTCCCCTTTCGATTATTTAATGTTATCTATTATTTAACGTTATCTAACAAAGATGAAAAGGTAGGTTTCAAACCCATTTATTTATTATTTATTTTTGTTATAAGAGTAATCAAAGAAAAATGGAACTTTCGAACAGAATAACTATGCACGAGCTTGTAATGAATATATTTATTATAAATTTATTGTGGAAAAGTAAAAGTACAAAAAAAGTATATTTAGTTCATGGTTAAAGACTAGGTAGATATCGAATGTTTTTTGCTTCTCTCATCCGCATTCAGTAATCAAGCTTTTCAAATTCATCACTAGATAAGGAGTTCATCACAATGATATCATCGTCCATCAACATAGCGCAGACCGTTTCAGAGTTGAATCGTTTGCCACATTCAGCGTCAAGGGTGCAGCTTTGAAATGTTACCAAATTTTTTATTGCCTCCATCGTCTGTGAGCTCCTTGACTACGTTAAGTTGCCATAATCAGACCATAATGCGTCAACATAAGTAGTAGTTTAGGTAAGTATATCGGTATGTTCGCAGTAGTTAAAGCAGTGTAACCACTTTGTGAGTAAATCCTCAATGAGGAATTTCGGGTGCGATTGAGTATTTTTTGAGGATTTTTATTTTGAGGAATTTTTGAGGAATATTCTCTCGAAATCTTTGCAGACAACAGATGCAACCATGTTTTACGCAAAGGAGTTGTTAAATCGCTCTGCAAATTTTTGAACAAAAAGCTTTCCGAAGCTTTATAAAAAGAGAAATACACCACACAAGCGGCTTGTCAAACATTCCTCAAACCTACTTTTCCCATTTTGCCATATACCATGCAAACATGACTCGTTCAAGCAAAGAAATTTAGTTTTCTTCCGGTTCACAATGTAAAAGAGTTTAGTTTTCTTAAATTTTTTTCTCTTGCGTCCTCATTCGGTGGCAATTCCGTTGAAAATGAGGCGATTTTACCATACGCAACGTAAGCGGTTTGATCAAACCTCAACATGGCGGCCAGAAAATCAAAAAATTTTGATTTTTGTTTACATTTCCCGCGCATGGCTTGTCAAACCTTCAAACGCCCCCATACACAAAATAAATAGCTTTAAGGAAAGGGATAGTTCGCTTGGTTTGTCAAGCCGCTTGTGTGGTGTTTTTCGCTCTTAAGCACATCTGCATTTGCTGCTAAATATTCAAAATATTATCGATAATTTTTTTCATTCCATCGTTATATTTGCAACTTATTTTAAACTTGCAAAATCTCGCCAACGAATTGAGAGAACACGCATTGTGCGATCGTATTGATTCTTCATTAGATCCAGAAAATTATAGGACAAGTTTTTGAATTAAATGATTCTTCAGGCTCATATAAGTTTCCCAATTAAAAAGAATTATATCTGCATTACTAATATAGCCATTTTCTAATGCTTCAGTAGAACGTATATTTAGCAGTTTAAAAACGTGTAGGACTGACTTGAGGACCAGATTGAGCATTGATATAGTTGCAGAAATATTACGAGTTGTTCCACAAGCTACACGAAGTCACTTCGAGTTACACATACGCGTTCCACAAGTAAGTTTTAGAGTTCATGTGATAAACGCTAAGGGCCGGTTTTACGATACATTTTTTAGTTGAACTTAAGTCTAACTTAAGATTTTGCGTTTCACCAACCACTTTTTGAGAAAATCTTAAGTTCAACTTAAGTTAAACTTAAGTCGCGGCCATCGGCGGCTAAAAGTAAACTAAGCCGACAAAACAGCTGATTTAGCAAACAGATGCTTATGATAAATTTTGATTGAGAAGCAAAACAATTTTTCGGAAAAATAAAATAAAGGCACAAAATGGATTTTGATTTGAGTTGGGAGGATGATAGTGATTCGGAATACGAAGAGGCACACCAGAAAATCAACTTCATTTGGACCGAAATTTATTCTCCTCTTATTTTCTGAAATTTTTGTTAATATATAGTTCAATATTTTATATTTCTTCGCTCAAATATTACACTTTAAATAAATCGCATACACTATCTCCTCAGTTGTTTTGTATTTGAAGAAATGTCAAAACATGTAAACAAAGCATTTTTTGTGGTCCTGCCATACTTTTTAACAATATATTTTCCATACTTAAGTAAGCATTGTGAAATGCAAGCTTG